ACCCTGATTTGGTCATTACACTATGCATGTAACGAATATCACAAGTACCCCCATAAACACAATTATTATATATCAACAAAAAAGTGAAAAATAGATACATTAGAAAGTATATGATGTTTGGCAGATCAGGACAAAAAAGAATAGCAATAGAGGTTATTTCCTTTACAACTCAGCCTGGCCTAAAACTCTTCCTTCCTTTCCATGGGAATCTTACCTGTCCCTGGGGCAGACTCAAGACCACCTTCCAAGAAGCTACCAGGGCCCTGGGGAAGAGAGTGGCTCTGCCCACAGCCAGACCCCAGGAGTCCAGGGACTGTCCTGCTAGTGAGCCTGGGGGCCAGACCAGGCCACAGGCAGGGGCGCTGCAGGTGAGCACAGGCCGACATGGCCTCCGCCACTACCATCCATCTTTTTTCTTTTCTTTTTGAGACAGTCTTGCTCTATTGCCCCTACTAGAGTCCAGTGGCATCACCTTAGCTCACAGGAGCTCCTGGGCGGTAGGTTGGTGGAACTCCAAAAGCAGAGCAAGCAAAGGCCACTCCATTTTGAACATGAGGAACTCCATCTTGGCTGTTCAGTGACCTCTGCTAAAACCACTCCCTTCTGGGACCCAGCTAGAAGAAAGGAGGAACTAGGGAACACAATGGCTCCAGGGCAGCTAAACTATAAATGAACAGCAGCAAGTCAGAGGAAAGCCAGCTGGAACTGTCCCTGGCAACAGTCACTAGCACACCAAAGTAACACTCTCCCCCTCCTACCCTACCTAAAACCTTTAAAAGATAAGCACTCTTGCTGTTGGGGGCTGATGCCTACTGAGTCTCAGCCTGCCAAATAAACTTCAGCTATTGCTCTATATCTGGCTTTGTGACTCGATGAAGCCAGCTGCTACCTTACATTGAGCTCAGGGGATCCTCCTGTATGAGCCTCCTGAGTAGCTGAGACTATAGGCACCCACTACCACACCCAGCTCATTTTTCTGTTTTTAGTGGAGTTGGAGTCTTGGTCTTGCTCAGGCTGGTCTCAAACTCCTGACCTTAAGTGAGTCTCCTGCCTTGACCTCCTAGGGTGCTAAGATTATAGGTATAAGCTGCTGCACCCAGCCTATCATCCACCTTTTGTTTACACATGTACCAAGCCCCCTGTGTGCTCCAAAAGTCATTCCACATGCCTGGAAATTCACTCTTTTTAACCCATTGTACAGATGGGCAAGCAGAGAACCAGACAGGAGAGGCCTTGCCTAGGGCTGCAATGGAGTGGATTTGAACCAGAGTCTGCTGCTGAGCCAAGGCCACTGGTTCTTTACCACCTGCCACAAGCCTCCATCAAAATCCTGTCCTCCCCTCTCCTTAGGGTCCCTGCCGCTCACAGACTCCTTCACTACCGTGTCAAAGCTGAACACACTTCTCTGTAGTCTCCTAAGGCCGGCCCTGCAAGGTCCCCCTCTCAGGCACGACCCCAGCCCTTCTTCAACGCTCCATGCTCACATCAAGCAAAGGCACATGGGAGCTGGAGCTACAACTCTGGTCCTGGGGACTGGCTAGGTGCAGGCCTAGACCTGCAGCAGAGAATGCTCTCTGGGTTGGCAGAGTGGGGGAAAGGTCAGGCCAAGCTCCTTGCGCCCTCCTGTCCTTACCCTGGGGCAGATGGCAGGGCTGTGTGTTACAGGGCTCCAGGTCCACAGGCCGTGAGTGCTGCAGGCTTCCACAGTGGCTAGGCGGCCCGATGGCACAGACGACCTGTCGCCTCCGAGTGCCCGAGCTGCAGCTCTTGGAGCACTGAGGCCATGGGTGGAGAGAGGCCCTGAGGATGGGGTTTGGGGGCACCCACGAGGACAGAGGAAGGGGAAAATGCCCAGTAATGCGTGTCAGATCCCAGGATGGGAGACACGTGCAGTCACCTGCCAGAGACCCACGGACCCGGGGCCGGGCAGCAGGCACAGGGGCACTCACCAGTCCCCAGGCACCAACACGCCAGGCCTGGCCAGTGAGGACAGGACAGTCCTCACCTACACAGGGTTCAGTGAGAGTGGGCTGGTCCTCCAAGGAGCATGCTGTGGCATGGAGCAGAGACCCCTCATCACCTTGGCAAGTGACATTCCGCCTTCGGATGCCAGCACCGCAGCTGACAGAACACTGTAAGGACCGGGCTGTCAGCAGGAGCTCACTCCTGCCCAGAGGACCCCTTGCATGGAAGTAGACAGAACTGTACTGCCCATGACCTCTTTCCCGGGCCCAGAGATGCTAAGTCACTCCCTTCAGGTCACATAGTCTGACCCATGGCTGAGGTGTGTTCTCCATGTCCCCTTGTTGGTAGCTGGAAGCAAGAACTAGCAGCCCTCAACACCACTAGCTCCTCCCTGGCCCCAGACAACACACCTGGCTTCTTCCTGCCAAAGCAGACCCTTTCTCACTCTGCTCCAGGATCCCTGCTTCTGCTCCCAGCCTTTGCCACAGCTTCCAAGTCACTCTGCCCTCCCTAGGATCCCGGTTTCCATAGCAGAGGACAGACCCCCAGCTCTGTCCTGCTGCTGCCCAGCCCCGGGGCCTCACCTCTCCCCAGGGCTCCGGGCTCCAGGCCGCGCAGCGCCACAAGTTGCAAGCCCGTGTAGCAGGGGGCTTCTCAGGCAGGCTGGCGCACTCAGCCTCCTCAGTGGCCTCCTGGTCACCAGCCCCAGTGGAAGAGACACAGTAGACAGAGCGAGCCTGGGAGCCGCCCCCACAGGAGGCTGAGCAGGGCATCCACGGCCCTGTCTTCCAGCTGATAGGAGTGGGGATCAGGTGAGGCTGGCCCACGAGTAGGGGCTGAAGCTCAGCCCTGAGGGGCAGCAGCCACACAGGAGCATCCTGAGGACCCCACCTGTCCCGTTCCCTGAACATCATGCCTGCATGAAGACCAAGACCAGGCCCTCTCTGGTGTTCTCTCCACCATGCCCAGCTCTGAGTGCTGCCTTCAGCTGTGTTGTCCTTGCCTGAGCACCCCTTTCTCACCAGGTCCTCTCTCCCCAGTCAGACCCAATTCCCTTCAGGTCTGGCCATTGCCAGGCATACCCTGAGGGGCTGTCGTCACTTGTGCATAGAGCAGCTCTGACCCTGATGGCAGGTGCAAGGACCCAGAGGAAAGGGCAGCTCCCACCATACCATGCAAAGCCAAGCCCACCACCATTCTGTGAGGCTGGGCAAGGGGTGGAAATGCACCAGCTCTGCAGGCCTCAGATTACCTTTTCCCATATACACACTGGGCCCCAGCAAGGTGCCACACTCTAGGCCAGTGTAGGTAAGAGGTTCTTTGTGCACGAACAAAGCCGTCGTGGATACTGATAGGTCCTTTGGCCTAACCCTGGCCCACCCCTCAGCATCTGCCCCCGCCAAGCTCCCTCCTGGCACAGACAGACAGGGACCTCCAGTACCCTCCCTGGCCCTCCTGCCACCAGTCTGGATATCCTGAGTAATTTGTCAGCAAACAAGGGTGGAAAGAACAGCCCTGGGCCTCATGCTCAGACCTTTCATTGCCTCCCTCAGTGACAGCTGCCACTCCTGACCCTGGCCACAGCTATGGGGAGCCTTAGGCCGCCCAATCTCTTTGTTCTACACATAAAGCAGCTGAGGAACCCCTTCCCACCCAAGTCCTGGGCCTCTCAGGGTTGGGGAGCTGGTGAGCCCTCACCGCTTGGTCTGCGGGCATGGGTGAGGGTTGCAGGAACGGCGATCAGCTGGCCGTGGCTGGTGCTGGCACATGTGGTCAGGATAGGCCTCGCCATCAATGCTGCAGAACACCAGGCGGGACTGGTGACCTGGGTGGAGGCAATGTTTAGACACCAAATGTATTCTCCATGCCAGGCACCATTCTGGACACACTCTGACAGTCATTCCATTAAGTCTCAAATGATCGCCCCAAGTTGCAGATTAGGAAACTGAGGTTCAAGAGTTTTAGCTGTGAAGTCCTGCTGACACCTGGTCACTGGTTCTAGGCCTGGCCTGGGCTCCCAGTGGGGCACTGTCTCCTACAAGGTACCATGGGTTCTAGGAAATCTCTGGTTCTCCCAGCTTAGGCCAGGATCCTTCATGGTATGCCCCAGATCCGTGGATCTTCCAGCAGAGGACTGCTTGGATAAGAGCTGGTGGCACCTAGGACCCACTCCCCACCTGAGCTGTCTGCACCCTCACCTTCACCACACTCAGCACTGCAGTCATTCCAGGAACTGTGGCTCCAGCTGGGGCCGGGGCCAGGGCCCGGCCAGCGCAGGGGCAGGTAGTACTCATAGTGCACACCGGGGTTGGGCTCCTGGCTGAGGAGCTGCCATGGAGGGTCCTCGTGGAGAGGTCTGCTGCCAGGGGGTGTCCCCCACACCCAACAAGCCTCTTGCCCAACTTCATTTGTGTACAGGGCCTGGTGGCTCCTGGGCACTGAGAGCCACCCACTCACTCTCTCCCCCTACAGCCCAGCTCTCACCTCGATGACCAGGGGCTCTGAGGTGGGACCCCGGGCATGCAGCCGCTCAGGAGCCAGGTCCCCCTCAGCACCCCGCTCATACTGCAGGAGGGTGCTGGCCGCAGGCAAGGCCCTGGCAGCCTCGATGGTCCAGTGCCCATTGAGGTAGTACTCTCCTTGAACATTCTTCACCGCTGGGTGAGACGGCCTAGTCAACTGCGGGGGGCAGGAGCATGCCTTGCTCTTGTCCCCGCCATCCGCACACACCCAGGCCCTGACCCGAAGCTCTCACCCAGGAAGTTCCTGCTGGCGGCAACCTCCTCAATGCGGAGGCTGGTGGCCCCCCTGGGAACGATGAAGATCTGGTTGTAGCCTGACAGGCAGAGACACAGATGTGGTGTGCTGAGCTATCCCTTCCCAGGCACGAGAACCACAGGAAGGAGCCCCCCACCCCCACCCCGGGCTCTAGTGCTGGCAGCAACTGGCACAGCATGAGGTGGAAGGGCAAGCTCTCCCTGTAGACAGGCAGGGCTGGTCTACTTGAGGAAACAGCTTTATGAAGGCCACAGGGACAGGAAGGCTCAGACACCCAGATCGGCCAGGAGGGGAAGGGACTGGAGGGATATTAGCTGGGGCAGAGACTGGACTAGTGAGCAAAGGTCCTAACTGAACAGCATGGCCTCCACCCTGAGGCCATGGGTGGGGCTTTAGACATGACCTGAGGTGGCCAAACCTCCTGGGTGCCGTGAGGCCACTTGGCCTGGAGCCTTGGCAAGGAAGGAAAAGGCAACAGACCCTTATGTGAACTGTCCTCTGATGTGAACTGCCCACCTCTGCTGAGGTCATTGGCATCAAAGGTGCCTGTGACGGGGAAGCAGGTCGTGCCGTCACCCCCACACTGCAGACACTTGTCCTCCCGCTTGGATGAGTCTAGCTCATGGTCACAGCCAACAACCTGCCGAGAGTCATGGGAGAAGGCATCGTGGACAGGCCAGGATCCAGACCCCAGCAGCTGTTCTAACCCCAGCATCTGGCAGGCCAGGTGGGACAGGGGTGATGGGCATGATATAGCCCCATCAAGCTGGGGGTGGCTGCATAAACTTTGGGTCTGGCCTCAGGCTGATGATCCATTCTCATCTGTCTACTTGGCTCCTATCTCCCATTCTCTGGCAACTATACCCTGTTTTGCTTTGGGGGCCACTTTTGTCCCACAGAACATGAATGGAGGTCCCCAGTGTGTGTTTGAGTAAGCCAGAGTGGCTCAGGCCAAGTCAGAGGTAACCCCAGATTGCTGGAACTCCCAGGAATGAGGATACCCTTTCCTGGGAGTCACAGACTGGTATGACAGAAGCCTGGAGTCTTCCTCACATCTCCTGAAAGGGCCTACCTGATCCTGATGCAGACAGAAAGGACAGCAAAGGTAAGATGAGAGAAGAGACATTTCCAGCAGCATCACTCAGGTACCTACAGCCATCTCTCAATATTGGTTTGTTTTTCTGGAGTCAGTTTTAGCTGGGTTTCTGTGACATGCCACCCAGAGGGCTTCTCTTGCTGTGGGAGTAGCATTCTTAAAGGGCAGAGAAAGGCAAGGGAGTCACAGGGCATCTGTGGTGGCTGCAAGGCACCTTAGGAGCTAGGCTTGGTGTCCTGGTGACTTAAGACATTGAGCTTATGACAGCCACTTGCCCTGCTCATGCAGGGAGACACCCACCTGCACTAAGTCCCCAGCCAACCAGGGCACAACTCACACGACAGCTGCCATCCACACAGACGTCCCGGCTGCCAGGCTCGCAGGGTGTCCCGTCCACCACAGCCTCTCTATGCTTGTAGTAGAAGTTCTCCCCTTTGGGGATGCAGTTCAGCTCACACTTGTTTGGGGCTGGGGTGGACAAAAGGGGAGGGCTTCGATCTCAAGTTTCCACGCTGCGCCTCCCCAAGGCCCAAACCCTGCCCTGGCACCAAAGAAGCATAGATCACAAGAGGCTGGAGAGAAGCCCCCAGAAAGATCCCTACCACAGCTCATGGTAACCTCAAAGGCTCAAGCAATCTTTCTGCCTCAGCCTCCCAAATAGCTGGGACTGCAGGTATGTGCCACCATGCCCAGATAGTTTTTCTATTTTTAGTAGAAATGAGAGTCTCACTCTTGCTCAAGCTGATCTTAAACTCCTGAGTTCAAGCAATCTACCCACCCAGGCCTCCCAGAATTCTAGGGTTACAGGTATGAACCACCACACCCCGCCCTTATTCTATGTATCTATATATACACATTGTTTAAACAATCCAAAAGTGCAAACAGCATTATAATAATCTCCATGACAAGGAAGCCACCTTCTACCACTCTTTTTAGACCTTCTGTATTCCAATTTTTCTAGAATATGAATATACTCTATTTATTTTTGAGACAGAGTCTTGCTCTGTCACCCTGAGGAAAGTGGTGTCATCATAGCTCACAGCAACCTCAAATTCCTGGGCTCAAACAATCCACCTGAGTAACTGGGACCACAGGCACCTGCCACCATGCCCAGCTAATTTTTTCTATTTTTGGTAGAAATGGGATCTCACTGTTGCCCAGGCTGGTCTCGAACTCCTGAGCTTAAGCAATCCTCCTGCCTCTGCCTTCCAGACTGCTAGGCTTACAGGCAGAGCCACCACGCTCAGCCCATAAATTACATTTAAACATATGTCTATCTCAGGATCCAGAGGAGGACTGAACGCCAAAGGACTCCACTGAGGCCTCCTTATGGGCCACACACACACACACACCCACATACACGGACACAAACCTTCATTGACTTGGAACCTAGAGTACCTTAGAGTTTTCAGGAGTCATCTGCATCTAACTGTGAAAACTAATACTCAGGATTATCCTGACCTAAGGTGGTTTTTTTTGTTTTTGTTGAGACAGTCTCATTTTGTCACCCTGGATAGAGTGCTCTGGTGTCATAGCTCACAGCAACCGCCAACTCTTGGGCTCAAGCAATTCTCTTGCCTCAGCCTCCCTAGAAGCTGGGACTACAGGTACTCGCCACAGTGCCTGGGTATTTTGTTTGTTGTTTGTTTAGCAGACCTGGGTTTGAATCCACCAGCCCAGAAACATGTAGCCGGTGCCCTAACAACTGAACACAGGCTCCCGGCCCTAAGCTATCTTCTGACTCCCTTAAAACGTTTAAGTTACTTATGTGTTGGG